GCCTTTCCCTACATTTCTGTAAGAGGCTGTTTCCAGGACTTGAACCCATGACCTCATGGTCACAAGGCAGCAGTTTTACCACTGCGCCAAGGCTCCCCTTCTTTGTGATGGATATGCATGACAAAATAAAATGCGTATGCTGTCAATCCATCACGTATTTGTTTGGTTGTCAATTAGGAACTAAGCGATTTGTTTTACAGGTTACATTTTTGCGGTAAACGATAACGTCAATGATGTTAGACCTACATGCAGGTTTCTTTCACAAGTAAACATTGCAAAGTTACCGGTTGCGTCATACCTGCCTTAAGATTCATGGTTAGTACGCAATCCTCATTTGCGGATCTCACTGGTCATCTATTGACTGTTACGGAAGTAATCTGTATTTCTTTCTTCAAGTTTATACCTGCAACACTTTGGTGTGAGTTAATGAGATGGTCATGCCAATTGCATGATATGCTCATCAAAACCTCAACAGGATCTACTCCCTCCGTTCCGAAATAATTATCGCTGGAGATAACCAGTTCATTTTTCGTCACGTTGTAATATTTCTCCGCTTTCCCCTTTTGCCCCTCGCACTCGCTCTCTCCCCTTTTCAGAAATACACATTGATGGACTATGTCTAGTGTTTTTATTTACTGAATTTCGTTTTGCTGTTTTACTGTGTCTCTCATTCTCTTTACCGTGCCTAATTGGACATGCTTACTCTTGATTATGCTCCGGTTTAGGTCCCGGTTGGTACTGCCAGCAGCCTTGCCGGTCCAAGCAATCAAGATCATCAGCAAGTCAATAACGGAGACGGTCGAGCACTGTCATCACACTGAACCTGCAACACCAGTGAGATGACTGAAGATTGGGTTGTGGTTGGAGTGAGAGGAGAAGCAAATCACTTGACCAGTTGAATCCTTGTGAGTGCAACCCTCTATTTCATTCCCACTTTGTTGTTGGCAAAGTGATTTGTCACTGTATGATCATCTGCTTCTTCAGTGCAACATTCTTCAAAGTATGCCATGAAAACTTCCAAAAGAAAAAAAAGTATGCCATGAGAATTTGGTTATCTGATTTTTTTCTTCTGCAGGGGTGTACAAGACGGCCGAGCTGTGACAGGTGAAGGAGCCACTGCCGCTGCCCGCGCCGAAGAAGCGCAACTGCTCCATGGTGTTCACCCTCAAGGAGATGGAGGAGGCCACCGGCATGTTCAGGAGAACTTCCTCTTTGGTTCGATACACATACATTATTTAACTGTGATTTAGAGTTATGATTATTTGATGTGGCGAACATAGAATCCTGCCTGCGCATTTCTGTGATTATTTTGTACCCTGAATTCAAGTAAATTAAGTTGCCTGTACCAAGTTGAGTATTTAGTTCGATGAGTAATTTTCTGTCTGGAGATGATGAGCAGAGCATAAAAATGATTGCTTATCTGTATACTGTTGTTGCTGTAGTTTAAAAGGCTCAAGATCTTCTACTCACATGCTTGTTTATCTCACATCTCTGAGCCAAAGTTATCTCACATGCTTGTTTATTCAATATTTTTCTGACATACGCGTAATACAGATGGCGTGCCCAAAGTGAAATCTGACCGGAGACTTTGAAAGATCAGAGGTAACATACTTTTAGCCGTGAAGGGTGAAATGCTCAAATGTTTATTTTATTTTTGCGGTACCCCTTTTGTGCCAATGAAAGATCTTCCTGTCAGAGAGGGCTTAAGGATCTTCCTGTCAGAGGAGTACATTATTTTGTTTGACAGGAGTATTTCAAGATCAGTACATTATTTTGTTGGACAGGAGGGCTTAAGGACCTACAGTATCATGGTGATTTCATATCAAAATCGAGGAGTACTCCTGTTCATTTGGAGAACTCAAACAGCAATTGATATGCATCAAAATTGGGATCAACAGTAGCATGGGGCCTTATCATTCTGGTTTTTGGATGACTTAGTTAATCAAATTCCTCAATTGAGGAACACCTGAACTTGTCATTCCGGTCTTGGGATCAACAGTAGCATATGGACTTATCATTCTGGCTTTTGGATGATTTAGTTAATCAAATTGACATCAATTGACCTGTTTTTTGGATCAATTGCAGATTCTCTTGATTGGAGTGGAGAGGAGCAGAGACGAGAGGAGCAGCAGAAGTGGACAGCGCAACGGCTGACTTTGAGCTCTTGATTGGAGTGGGGGAGGCGGCCGACGAAGGATCTGTGGCCAGCAGCGAAGGATCCGAAGTTGTGGCGGAGCAGGCAGCCGGCGGGAAGGGCGGCCGGCGAGGGAGCTGCGGACCTTGGCGTGGAAGGGCGGCCGATGAGGGAGCTGCGGACCGCGGCGGGGAAGGACGCCGGATGAGCCCGGCGAAAGGGAGCAGCGACGGCGGGGAAGCCTGGCGTAGGGGAGGAGCGACGGAGGAAGACGCCTCCCGATGGATTTCAAATCGGGGGTAGTATTGTACTTTCACACTATTTCACCTGGTCGGAGTGATGCCCCCAACGATAATTATTTCGGAACGGAGGGAGTAATACAAAGGATGTTGTTCTCCTAGAAATAGCACGCCAAGTTAGCACTACATAACAACCACTACTATTTGCTGATCAACCAGAATATACACGGATGGAAAACTACTTGATCAGGATTCCCAATTAAAGAACTATTTAAGAATGCACGTATCACGAGAACAAGCAATAATTGAGTAAACTGCCACGCCTTTCCTTGCTGTCAGTAGCTTAAGAGATGAGAACGTGTTAGGCCTAGTTAGGAGCACCTAATGCACCCTTAGGTTGCAACGGATCACATGAGGTAGTTAATAGCCCTAGTGGAAACATGCCAGCGATGCTCACCAGACAAACACATCGTGTTGCGTTGGAGCTCAAAGGTGAAGTCAACTGTTCCTCCACCTCCAATCAGCAACAGCTATCCATTTCTCTCCACTAGCTCACCAATCTCATGATCTGGATCTGTATCTGACATCAAACTGCACGCTCGTGCAGATGATTTTGCTGCCCATAGTGGAGACATGACAAGGTGCCCATAAGCTCAACCAGAGGCAAATAGTTGAAGATGCTACTTACACTGATCAGACATACAAAAGAAAAATCAGCTTGTCGTGGAGATGGGTTGCTGCGGTGCAGCACCACATCAGCGACGAGATTCTTATTGTCTACAAGGCCTTTGCAAGGCTTGTGCTTATATATAGAGGCAAACCATACCGGTTAAGCACCATTGCAGCAAAATTTCTTTTCTCTGAATCTCTTCCGTTTCCACCTACATAGAAAGCACACCACACCATCACCATTCCAGCCATGGCTAGCCAGCAAAACTTCTTTTCTCTCAAGGCGAAGATCTCTTCACCTTTGGCTACCATTGAAACAATGTTCGATGGCTTCAGGAGGTGTGTACTTGTGTACAATAGCATCAAGGAGATCATATGCAGCCAAATTATCCTTTGCCAGAGCAACAAAGGTAAGCTGTGGACATCTGCAATGCCATCCTAGAGAGCTTTTCTAAGCTCAAGACAAGTACTCGGGAAATTACATTGGCTCTCAGGCCAAGATACAGTCCTTCATTCATCTGACCAAGATGGCGCCAAAACAGTGGAAGAAGATCAACAGAAATCTCCTTCAGCTGACAAGGAGGGTGGTCAAACTGTTGGCTGGAGCAAGAGAGGTCGTTGCTTCAATGCTTCAATGCTTCAGTCATCCAAAGCAAATTGTGATGCCGAGTTATAACAAGTGGTATCCTGTCTCCAAGAAATTCCACAAGAAAAGACTTCCATGCAACAAGGAGCACTTACTGAAACTGGAGTTTCGTTGTTCTTGATGAGGGCAGTGCTTAGACTTTGTTGAGGAGACTGATCCAGAGCAGAGTTTCTTTTCTGAATGCTCAAGCTTGTACATGGATGATACATTGCCTACGGTTCACTGTGATAGGCACCCACCTTTTAGAGGATCAGTTTACTGTTTATGCTGCTCTGAAGATAGCTTCGATAATGTCTTCAAGAAAGAACAACTTTGGAGCATTTAACTCAGACGGATCTTCAGAATATAGAATTACGACGCGTTTGGTTGGGTGGATAATCCCCGCTTCCGATTACAGCGCTTTCGGAAATCAGTAACAGTCATTTGGTTCGGTCATTCTGTTTTCTGTTACGATGCTATCTGATACAATGCTTCACATCCGCGAAAACGCCCGATCCGGCCGGATATAGAATCCTCTCTGCTCTGTATTTGCTCGCGCCTGAACCAAACAAAACGCGCATTCAGTAGAGAATATCGGAAGTGGCGCTTCCCGATCCTGAAAGTGGAAAACGATACCAGAGTTCGAACCAAACGCCTCCTTAGTGTTACTCAGAAATGCTCATCGTTGCCGGCCATCAAACAAGCTAACAGCATACTGTTTCAAATCAAGTTTTGAAATGCGTCACTACAAGATGGCCATGTTATTCAGATGCCACTTGTTATCACAACAACAGCCAAAGGATCATTGTGCAGTGATTTTGCTATCATAGCCAAAGCAAGCCAGCTCCAACACTCCAAGTTGGCAACGCAGGTAGCATGAGTTGTGCAGCATATAATACCTACATAATAAGTTAAAAACAGCACAATACCTAGATAACCCGTATGCAACTAAAATAAACATTTTTTAGCACGCAATTATGTCAAGATCCACCAATAGAGCCAACCATCCGGTTGATTCTTGTCGCCAGTTAAAGGAACATGATAATGTGATACCTCATTGGAAGAACACCTACTGCACTAAAGAATTTGATCTACACATGGGCGAAGATTCCAAATGTTGCACCAGATCTCACAAACTTGATATACAAAACTCTGGAGATGAGTTGGCATGATTCCTTGCGTCTACCATTCAAATGGCGTTGTATCATACAGTTCCTCTGTATAAATAGGCCTCAGAAGAAGGCTAAACACATCAAACCGAAAGGTGCTCTCTCATTCTCATACCTTCAAACCTCAAGTACTCAACACAGAGGAAAGAGTCTTAGCAACAGATATGGCTTGCCATCTTAGATCAGTTAGTTTGCCTTCTAGGCCTCACACCAAGGTTGAAGAGGAGCTGCACAGCCTAGAGGCGAGCATCTCTTCATCCTCCATGGCCATCGAGACAATCTCTGATGGTTTGAGGAGGATTGGAGACATCTACAGCACCATTGAAGAGATCATGTGCCTTCCAAGCAACCAAATTTGCTCTTCCCAGCAAAGGAAGACGTTGGAAGGTGAAACCGAGTGCTCCCTTGAGCTGCTAGATCTCTGCAATGCCATGTATGAGGACTTCACTGAGTTGAAGGCCATTATCCAAGATCTGCAAGTGGCGACCAGAAAAGGAGATGACACCGCTGTTCAGGTCAAGATCCAGTCTTACACCCGCCTGGTGAAGAAGGCGAAGAAACATCTCCAGAAGGCTGCGAAGAAGGTTACATCCGACAAGGAGGACTACAGGATGGTCAGGCTGTTGAGAGAGGCTAGGGAGATCACCACCTCTCTCCTCGAGTCAACAGTACACCTCTTGTCCAAGCAAATCGCAGTGCCAAAATGGTCTCTCGTCTCCAAGGCATTCCAGAAGAAGAACTCGGTTGTTTGCAAGGAGGAGCAGTTGCAGGTCCTAGAGTGCAGTGTTGGAGATCTTGAGGCTGGAGCACGAATTCTGTTCCGGAGATTGGTCCAGAGCAGAGTTACTCTGCTAAACATCCTTAGCTCATAGATACACTTCAATATCTGCTACTCTTGCACTATGCGATTGGCTTCCACCTTTTAAAGGATTGCTGATCTTTCCCAATGTGTGTATATATGTAGAATTGTACAGAATACTCCATACAGAAAGGAAACAAAAGTTTTGATCGAACTCATACTGTGAATTCAACCTTTGCATGTTTCTCAGATTCCGCACTGGTCCATAACTACCTGCTCGTTTGTACCTTGTATATTAATGTGGCCACGTAGCCTCACACCTGCTTAATCTCATGATTTTGTTTTAGCATCTTTCGCTTACATGCCAGGTCCAAACTACAAGGCAAGCATGCAAATGGATAACATCCTGCTTTGTTTTGTTTGCACTGAGCATTAAAAACACAATTACAATGATAGCGATACCAACTTCAAATTTTCTGTTGGCAAGGCTGTGGTGGTTGCAAAACTATTTGAAAACTTTCTGGAATCCTCGTGTACTTCTAATGATACTCAGTACTGGCATCCATATCATTTGAGCACACACATGATAATGCATTATGTCGTGGCTGCGCACTACCTTCATTACTGACACCAACCAAATAAGTTAAGTGAGCGAGAAATTACATGCAAAGCACATGAATTTTAAAGCTGAGCGAGAGGATTTGGAATAACATGATAAGATGCGAATTTTGATAACTCAGTAATTCTGCATTGGCTCATATAATTATTCGTCATCACAGGCAGTACAACCCAGCTCGGTCACAAGGCATGGCAGCAGACACTACAGAGAACTAAGAGCTAACTAGATGCATACCACGGTGGGAGCTCTGCTGGCGGCCGAGGCATCCTGACATAAGCTTGGTGGGGGGTGCTGGTGGTGTCGGTGCTGACGCAGCGGCGCTGTTCCATTTTCTCCAACTTTCCAACCTTTTTTTTCTTACAGAACTTTCCAGCTTTTGATGCCCTCTCAGACAGCAAAGGCTTTTTTTTAGGATAGGCTTCTTTTTGTGAAGCTAGGTCTACCTGCTTTCGTGTGGGCTGGTTCGGCTAGGCCGCATTAACTTCGGGCCAATTACATTTCAATTTTTGGGAGGTTTGCGAGCTCGGGGTGGTCTGTCTTGGCACATAGTCATGTGGACACTTTATTGAAATTACCTTAGATTTTGTAGTTTTCAAGATTCGCTCGCATTCTTAAGTTTACATTACATCAATTTTGATTTTCAATGTTGTAGTTTCATCATAATCACTAGTTAGTGGTCACCCTTTACAGAGGTTATCCCACGACACATTTAGTGGTGACATGTGGCGTAATGCATGTTCGACACGTGTTGCCATCACGTTGTTTTGGCACGATTTCTTCGAACCTGCCAGAGGATGTGTAAGATCGTTTAGAGTCTAGAGCGGGTGAATAGACTAACAGAAGTAACTACCTAAGGCTTAGTTACCAAAGCAGGGTGCCTCCTCCCCAAGAAAAATCTAGGGTTTCCTTGCCTCCCGTCGGCGCCACCGTCGGTCCGCCTCGTCTCCAGTGGCCTTAGAGCCATGGCGGCGCGGTAGATCTTGGCCCTTGCCGACGAGAGGGCTTTGTTTTCAGTTGTTTCTTCGCGTTTTGTTAGGGTTTGTGTCCTGCTCAGGAAGACGAGACGGCAGCTGCTCCCTCAAGATGGAAGGTTCTCCCCACCTAGCCCCCGTCCGATGGTGCGTCGTGTGGAGGTGTGTCTCCGGTGGATCTGTCCTTGGTGGATTTGCTCGGATCTGGTCGTAGTTGGATCCTTCCGACCTACGCTAATCTTCAACGGCGGCGGTTGTTGTTCTGCTATGTTGGTCCTATGGGGCCTTAGCACGACGACTTCCCGACTGTCTACTACAACAAGTTCTGCCCGGCTCCAGCGTGGGAGGGGCAACGACGGCGGCGCACCTTCGGCTCGCTTCAGTGCTTATAGTCGTCGCTAGGTGATCTATGGATTTGGATGTATTTTTTATTATTTTTGATATTCGTTGTACCGCCATGATTGAAGATAAACAGATCGAAAGTTTTCACGCAAAAAAACGAAGTAACCACCTAAAAATCGAGTCAATTTTGATCTTCACAAATTTAAATCTTAGCTAAAGGATTCCTAAAAACATCATACACATGTAGTTCTACGAAAGAGTAAAGTGTGGAAGCAAAACTTGCAAGTAAGGTAAGAGAGTTTGGGAGAGATCGCAAACCTTGATTGTTTCCAAGATTGGTGCTATCATATTCTGCGCTGGTGGAGGTTTAAATCACAAAGGTTCAAACACTACATACCACAAAGGTGAAAGTCTCGGTAGGGTCGCCCACCAAGGACCCACAAAGCGCTTACCAACCTATACCACCATGGCTTATGAACCACCACGGTCAAGCCTCACTCGAGATAGATGTTTACGCAGTAAGCGATCTCCAAGCCCTCACAAACTTCTTGGTTCATTCACACCTTGAAGGCTTCAAGCACACCTAGCTGATCTAGGAGGCACACACCCTCCAGAAGTTGCTTGGTGCTGAATCCCTTATTTGTGCTTCAAAAGATAATCCTGCGCCGGTGGTGGTCGGTGCCGACGCGCCGACACTGTTTCTTTTTCTCTAACTTCCAACATTTTTTTTCTTAGCAGAACTTTTCGTCTTTCGATGCCCTCTCGGACGGAAAGGATCTTTTTAGGATAGGCTTCTTTTTGTGAAGGTAGGTGAAAGCACATTTGCTCCCTTGATGGTTTTGGTAATTCATGTTAACATACATATTGTTGGACTAATATTTTCATCTAGTATGTTTCAGAAAAGTTCAACATTGGAATGGCAAGGACATAAGATTGTGGACCACTTCAAAATATTAAGGACATCTATTGGGGCAAGCTTCAAGACTCTACTTTTTTGGTCAAGTGATCCAAGATCACACTGAGTCCATAGGAAAGACAATACTATTAAAAGGGGATGAGTTTTCGATCATGACTCAATTGCTCAAGTGCTTGAAGGTATTGCTCCAAAAACCCTCAACCACCTTCTCCAAATCCTATCTGTCCAAACCCTATAAGCCCAACTTGGTCCCACCGAAATCTCCACATCCGGACCCACCGAGTTGATCCTAGATAGAGCCACAGCCAAACCCTAACAAATCGGTTTCACCGAGATGACGATCGGTCTCACCATGTTGCATTGACCAAATTTCTATAACCCTCTCACCCCATTTCGGAATTACCGAGTTGGTTTGATCAGAATTACCGAGATGAGGTCTTGCTTAGGTCATCGCACATCGGTCTCATCGAGTTGTTCCATTTGGTCTCACCGAGACGCCTAACGTTCAAATCTTTTACACAGGTTGGTCTCACCGAGATTTCATTTCGGTGTCACCCAGTTGAGTCAAAAGGTTGTAACGGTTGGATTCTTGGTGAAGGCTATTTATACCCCTCCATCATCACTTACTCATTGGGAGAGCCGTGAGAACGAAACTACACTTCCACCATTCATTTTCTGAGAGAGAACCACCTACTCATGTGTTGAGATCAAGAGATTCCAATCCAACCATTTGAACATTGATTTCTAGCCTCCCCAATTTGCTTTCCACTCCAATCCTTCTCCTACCCAAGCCAAATCTTTGAGAGAGTGATTGAGTGTTGAGGAGACTATCTTTTGAAGCACAAGAGCAAGGAGTTCATCATCAACAACAACATCTATTACCTTTTGAAGAGTGGTGTCTCCTAGATTGATTAGGTGTCACTTGGGAGCCACCAAGATCTTGTGGAGTTGAACCAAGGAGTTTGTAAGCGCAAGGAGATCGCCAACTTCATGAAGATCTACCCTGAGTGAGGCTAGTCCTTCATGGACGTAAGCCGTGGTGGAATAGACAAGGTTGCTTCTTCGTGGACCCATTGTGGGTGAAGCCCTCAGTGGACTCGCGCAGCCGTTACCCTCCGTGGGTTGAAATCTCCATCAACGTGGACGTACGATAGCACCACCTATTGGAACGACACCAAAAACCACCATGTCTTCATTGCGTTTGATCTTCCAATCTCTACCTCTTTACTTTCCGCACAATTGCATGTTGTATTCTTTCCGCTGCCCTATCTCTAGATATGCATGTGTAGGAAGTACTGGTTGTATCTTAACTAGTGCCAAGATCTGCCTAAACTTCAAGAAAACTAAAAACTGCACATTTGGGTTCAATAAGTGTCTATTCAGCCCCCCCCCCCCTCTAGACCTATCTTCTCAATCCTACAGTAGGGGTACCTGCTTTCGTTTGGGCTAGTTCAACTAGGACCTGTTAACTTCGGGCAAGTATATACATACCTTCCAATTTTTGGGAGGTCCATGTGTGAGCTCGGGGTGGTCTCGCTTGGCCCATATAGTCATGCGAAACACTTTAT